TATGAATATTGGAGTCGCAGATACGTAGACAAGTGAAAGGGTTCACATAAACGTTTTCTGGGAAATTGTAATAAAATAGTTTATCGGAATGATGTGGTGACCACATCCTGTGTCCCTGCATCAGCAATTGTGTAATACACACATGTGCGGAATTGATGGGAAATTAACAATATTTTATTATCATTAGCGCACATGCACACTCACAATTCGTGGAAGTTGTCTTATTTTATTATCATTGACGCACACACACACTCACAATTTATAGGAATTATCTTATTTTATTATCTTGTTCATTTACACACACACACTTGGGATTTTACATACACACATACAATATCACATATAAAAGGGACCCGAAAACAAGGGCAAATCAGACGAGTCTTGTCTATGCTGCACTGAGCACCTTCACGTCAGTGTATGTTATGGTCTGGACTTAGAAATATTTCCAATTATTTTATAAGTTACAATTGTTAGGACTTAAATAATTTCTATCACTAGAATATTTACAAAATTTGTAGTTAGAATAATTTTTATAAGTTAAATAAATTTAATTATTTCAAAAAGAAGTCTTAATTATTCCTGACTACACTTCCACACAAGCGTTGACTGAGACGTTGTAACTGAGTTAACGGATCAAACGGTTGGCACGTAACATAATAAAAAACAAAAAATTGTATACAATACTACGACAAGCAAACGAGCGTGACATTTTATTGTGGGTTTTCTTGCACATGTCTATCGGAGAAACTGTTTAAGAGGGATTTGCAAATGGTGCAATCATTAAACCACTACGAAGGACACCGTAGCGATCACAAAACACGTGCCACGGTTGAATATTAAAAATATTGACATCCTTTAGATTTGTACAGTTTTTCGTAGTTAGTTTTTAGTGATTTTTTTTTATGGGAATATTATGTGTAAATGTGTTGGAATTAAATATTTTTGGGGTCTTCACTGAACTCCAAAATTTAAGTTTGAATCTATGTCAATCGAGTTGTAAATATTCCGACCCGTAAATCTTATTTACTAAGGGCGAACCTGTAATTAAATAATTTAATTTAATCAATTTTTATTTTTTCATTCATTACAATAACTTTTATTGCTTTTATTTTTATTTCTTATAAAATTATATTTTTATAAGAGATACTTTTCAAAAGTATTTTAGTTAAATTACAAATTAATAAAAATTTTGATTCTGGTAGATATTATACTTGTAAATATTTACAAATTTGTCACATCTTTCTATGTTTTGTATTTAAAAATACACCTAATTAGTATTAAAACGAGAGACTACTTTAGGATTGAGATTTTAAAGGTAAGCATTTTAGTTTTTTTAATTCTCTAAAGAAAAATAAAGATTGTAAAAAAATTAAATTTAAATTTCTGTGATTTATGTTAGAACTCTTAAATACGGATTAAATCTTTACGCATGTATGCACTTTAAGTACCTAACCAAATGGAATGATGAATAATACGAGTATATTGTATTTTTATTTTACGAGTATGTTAAGATCATATGACTCAAAAATACTTGTATCCCATCTATAATTGAAAATGCAACTTTTAACAAGTCAATAATTATAATTAGAAACATGAAAATATTTAAAATACGTATTTAAATAATTTTCATCAAATAATTTTACTCGAATATTTTGTAAGGTTTGTAACTAGTATTGAATTTGTATTCAGTATAAAAATGTAAATACATTACAGTATATTTGCATAGTTTAGGTTAATTTAAACATTTAAAAAATTTAAAAATTTAAAAAACAATTAAATTATGAACTGGTTAATTTTTAAATTTTTTTAACAAATTTAATTACATATTAATTATTATACGAATATACAACGTAAAAGTATACGTTTGAAAAAGCATTTTTATTCTTTTTTCGTACATTTTAACAACAAAATGTACTTTTACTAAATATATTTTTTAAATCATTTTTGTGACTAACCAATTTAAAAAGATTTGAACTGTCTAACATTTTTTCTACATTAATAGACTTTCTAGTAAGTTGTAGTTTAGTATTACCTAAGTATTTATAAATTAAAGTCTACATATTTTAATTTTAAAAGTAATTTTGAAATTTCATAAAAATATAATCAGGTAAATCAAATATATTAAAACGCTATTTATTATTATTTATATCTTAGGTGTAATAATTTTCTTTTAGTCAATTTCATTTTATGATATATTTCATAGATATATTTAATATACCGTTCGAACATTGGTTTTTGAAAAAATTTCACTTTCTGGAAATACCGAACAATTATTTTAATGTTTATATTATTATGCAGTATAAATATTTCATGCTTATTATGTTGTGTTTTGTGAGGCCCCGGACAAGTTATATTACATAAGATACAACAATATAGTGGTTACATCGGTTTAATGTTCAACCTATAGAAGTGTTACTAATAGAACTTGTAGCATTTGCATATTTCGAGTATTTTTGTTTTAGGGCATATTTCTTCCGTTTTATACTTTTATAGTATATTTCAAATAATTTATAATTTTATCAATATACGATCAAAGTACTGTGGAATTAAAAATAATTTTAAATTTTGATCATGCATATGGTTGTTGACTGTTAGCAAACGCGCGATTTCCTAGTAACATGTCTTCATGATCGGCGATTAGATTAATTTTATTTATAAACAGTAAACACGTAGCTTACATCAATCATTTTCCAATAGGACATTAACGATTCTATAAACAATAATAAAAAATTTCATAGCACTGACTTTTGTCAGTGTTCGCAAATAATTTAATAATATGTATAGTAATTTAGTCTTAGCTCTACAGTGCATATGTGCGTCTATTCGTAATTCGTTTCAACTTTTCGTGTTAGTCTACTATTTTAACATTAAAATGTCTAAAGATAAGCAGTCTTTTAACAGTTGGCTAAAAAGTTATTTATCGGAATTAGATGTTGATATATTTTCGACAGACGGTTAAATCCTGTAATGTAAGTATTGTGATGTTAAATTTGGAAAATTGTGAAAAACTATTTTATGTTACGCAATTTTCAAATAATTTATATATTTTATAAATAAATTGCATTAAAAAAATAAGATCATATTTTTAGTGTATATTATAGGGTTTTTAAGTGCATAAGTGCTTGCACATTTAGTGTTTTTTTAAAACTGCAAGTCTTCCGCCATAGTTATTAATAATAAACTAATAATAAAGTACATAATACTGTTTCGTTACGGTAAGAATATATTTATTTATTTATTTATATTTTTATTGATAGATAGTCTTAGTTCCACTAGCGATGTTTTTTTATAATAAGTGTGAATACCCTTTAAATTAAATAACTAAAAAATACGTTGCAGCTGTAATATTATTTAATCAAAATAAATATAAAAATTATTACGTTGCGATAGTCCGATAATATTCATTACACAGCAACATATTACATTTGTAGATTTTATATGCTATTGTTGAATTTGGTTCAGAAAAATTATTTGAAAATCAGTCAGAAATTTGTGATCAAATAATATTTCGATTGTCTTCAATCGAAGATTTTTATACACCAGTTATCCAGACACATTAAATCTTATATGTACTTGTACGACCGATACCGGTTTTAATACGATTAATATAATAAATTATACGATATTCGTATTGGTAGGTTAGGGTAATTGAATAAATAATAATAATATTGCAATTATTGCTGAAACATGTTTCGTGAATCACGTTCACTGCATAATGACGTAGTGTATTAGACGATCGAACAAAAGTGTTTTTCAGAGCAGAGTCTGAACACTTGATATACAATTATTATTCGTAATATAATAAATATATGCATCACATTAGTTATGATATGATAAAATAAAAATATTTTAAATGTATTATTTAAAAAAAATGTATAACATGTAGTTTGTATAGGTATGGAACGCTAAAATAAATAATTAATATATTTATACAAAATTTAAAAACCATTCACATATTGATCAACGAACAACTAAACTACAATACCGAGTTATTTGAAATTTTGAGGGAATGAACTTATTACATGCATCACTTTTTAGTAGGAAATTATTTTATCACTTTAGGAAATAATTGATTTTATTTAATATTTTGATTTTTATAACTACGGATTGAGGTACATATTTTTTTATTTCACCAATCGTTCTGCAACATTTTATACTCTTTTTGCATCCACGATACATCTAACATCGTTTGACCAACTAAACTATTTACATAAATAATTTTGTTAGCTGCAACTAATACAAATATGTCATTCCGAGTGCAAATGTAATTTTTGATTAAAATAATTGTAATTTTATACACATCTTGATGAACAATTCTTTTCTATGCTTATGAGATGGCGCGTAAGAGGTTGAATTCGTTTTGGAAGTCGATCGATTCTCCGACGATAGATTTCTCACCGTAAACAGAGTTTTCCGAATATACTGTATTACATTTAGTAGAGTAGGTAAAGATGGAGAGGGAGATTCAACCGCCGCTTTATTGCCGAAATGCCAGCTAGTAAATAAATAAGTAATAATAAAAATAATTTTTACCTAAATATATCAATCCCCCTCGTAAATCTTTACTTAAATCCTTGATTATATTTCACTCTATTTTAAATAATATTTTTGTGTTTTCAAGCAGGAGTTATTAAATTATATACAATCAAATGTTTATTAAAAAAGTATTTTCAACGAAAATGTTATTTTGATTCTGTCAAAAATACAATTTTACGAATGCTTATGACTAACACTTCTCTGCACTTAAAATATTTAATTCTATGGTTAAATAATTACTTATATTAACTACAATTAACTATTACTATCTTATTATAACTAATAAATACTTAAGTTCATTACAGCTATATTATTCTAACTACATTTGACTATTACTAAATAAATAATAGTTTAAATTACCAGGTTATAATAATTTATATAGCTTAACTTAGTTGTTAATCATTAACTATTAAATAAATTTGTAACTAAACATTTTTTAGTATACGAATGTGACACAAATTTTCATATTTTTTTCACCATAATTTGTCCGACCATTATAGGCTCTTAGTCAATCACCATATTGCTCTGAAATCTGAACGCGTAAAAAATATCGAAAAACTATGGAAATTAAACACTCTGAAAACTTGAGTAACTAAAGTAACGTATACTAGTGTATGTACTGTCAAACACGTAATGGATATTGATTTTTTAAATACAATAATCGGTTTGATTTTGGTCAGTATATTTTTTACAATACTATTTGTGGCCAATAAACTGTTTTTTTTTTTATAAGCGTGCATTCGTATACACATCCGAAATTTAGGGAACAAAACTTAAACACGAAAATACATACAAATCTAAAATCAATGTAATATTTTGCGGTATTTTGGTATCATTCTGGTTTAGATTTCAATTTTCATTTCGGTCATGACTGTTCCGTGCGAAGTCGAGTGATTCAGCTAATAATTTTCCATATAATAATGAAATAATAGCAAAATTAACACTAAGTGAGTATATACAGGTAATTATTTAAGTAATGCAGATAGGTACATAAATACTTTAGTATAGAACTTAAACGGTAGACAGAATTTATACAAAATTACTACACGAGTTAAGACTACGACGTAGTCATACCAAGACTTACTAGACGAGTCGAAATTCTTTAGAACAATCGGGGTAACTCGTGATCGCCACTGTAATCGTTTCTAACGATTATTACGTAAGGGACCGTGATGTACGAAATATACATTAATAACAAGTATAATACAACGAACGTTCAGGAGCGTGCGGAAAACAGTTGCGTTTATTCCGCAGCTCTTCGAAAGTCCATTACAAATCAATACAGTCAAACCTGTGATTAACAAAATGTTCTGCATAACGAATTTTTTATGGTACAATGACATTTTTATGAAAAAACTTTTCTAACTCGTCTATTCCCCGGTGGCATTTCCTCCTATTCTTAGAGCATACGAAGCACAGAGAAACAAACGGAAAAGCAAATATTTGATTCGTAATTTTTTTTTTTTTACGAGTTATGGTTTCAAATTGGCACCTCATGTTTTTTTAGAACCTCTGTGCGTTGTACAGAAATGCGTATCTATATCGAACGATTTTAATGGTACTATTATTATCGGGTCGTTTAACGAACGGACGAGCAATCGAAAACGTCCAAATGTGTTCCTATGCCCTTCGTATCATACGTTACGTATAATAACAGTATAATAACATAATATGGTGTATAAATAATAACAGTATTATTCCAATACGGTGACTTGTATGCAGACGCGTATGTAGACGAAATCATTTTAATTCCGTTGGAAACGTTTTAAGTCGCGCGCGCGACTGTAATTGTAGAGTAACAACGTATGACGAGTACACGACCGCGCGTCATGGCTCAACTCTTTACACGATGCGTACATACATTATGTAAATATAATGACACGATGTACTCCGCAATTATACCATTATATACGTGTAGTCTATGCCATACACGTGCACAATCGAACAATGTTATCAGACGAAATTTCAAAGTCCTACCGCGCGTTTACTTTTCGAATCCTATTATTCGGTGAATTGGTATTTGAATTCAATGATACGCTACCGCTGCGGCTACCACCGCGCGGAGCGTATAATATGCATAATTATTTAGTATTATAATATATATTCGTTTCCACGTCCCCACACGCCGCTGCGCACCCCACCGGAGGCGGTTCTCGATTATTCAAAAATTCTATCGTATCCACAGAAGCCAAAACTTATGATTTCCTGTACACGAGAAAATTATTGGCCATCGAATGATTTTTTAATATCGACTATCGGTTCATTGTTATTATTATAATTTTCATGGTTGTAATGCGCATACGGGGTAGACCGTATAAAATTTATACTACGCCGTGCGGTAATAATCATCCGTCTCCACGTATTATATGCACGCGTAAAGCGCAGCAAATGATTCGATAATGTAATATGATTGTACCCATTATGCGTGTTCTCGTACTATGTTCGTTTTACTTATGTTACTATGTTCGTACTATGTTGTAAATTAGCATGCTTACATTCAAAAGGATTTGTTCGTGTGGCGGAAATAGGCTGTACGTGAAGCAATCCTCGCTCTTATCGCATCATCCGATACCGAATTATTCCGACGTTAAAGTTCCACGGAACAACAGGCGGTACAAGTCGAAGCTGACGCGTACACGTATAACCGTACTGCTAGCGTTTTGTACAGGGACTTTTTAAATGAAAAGAAATTCGGACCAGATTCGAATGTCGTGGTATTACAATACAGTGTACGCCGCCTGCAAGAATTACGGGTATAAGGTTCAGCCGCTGATTACACTCAAAATTGACCGATACACATTGACAGATGCATTAAAAAAAATATTAAAAAAAATCCTGTTACAAAGACTCACCACTTTGGTCGCAAGTCTCGAATTCCGTAAGAAAAATCGTACGAAATTAACTTTTGTACACAGCACCGGTGGTGATATAAGATACCCTAGTCGTCACAGTAAGGGTTTAAAATACGACGCTCTTATTGGTCGATTTCAAATTGCTGCGCTTTTATATATGAATTATTATTGATTATTAAATTATAATTATATTATTATTATATTTAATTATGTGATAATTATCATTTAATCATCATTGTTATTATTGATTATCACTTAATAATTATATTGAGAAAAAATGTTACTTACTTTTTTATTTTTTTAAATAATATTTGTACATCAAGTCGTCAATGAATCTTAAAAATATCATAAATGAAATAAATATAAGTAATAGCGAATTGCGTTGCGAATTAGTAGATATTATTAAGAATGATGTCAAAGTGATACGTTGTAATTTAAATACTGAAGATGATGTTGACATATTTTTTGCTTTATTTAAAGAAAAAAGTGTCATTAATTGGATTGTTCAGGGACAATTAAATAATCCAGTGAGGTGTAAAAAATATATAATTAAGTATATTTATTATTACCATTCTTAATATTTAGACATTCTTAATGATATTTTGAATGTCAAATTTTAAGACATAGACATTACTACAGTATAATTACTTGTTAGCAATATCACTGAATATTATAAATAATATTGATTAAAATAATATAATATTCATGTTAATACCAAATAGGACTGGTAATAGTAATTTTAATATTATCTATATGAAATGAAAAACAATTAGGATAAATATTTTACAATAATTGTATCTAAATTCTAACTATTATATATTGAAATTGTAAGTTGTACCTAGTAAGGTTAACTATTAACTAACCCTATTAACTATTAGCAAAGTTGAACAATATTGCAACAGATTAATCAAAACAATTAGGACATTTCTTTAAGAAACCCTAAGGTTTACATCACCCTCATTTAAGAGTGTTACAAATATTAATTATTCAGTTATTGAAAATTTAAAATTAAATTACATCAATGAGCAAATAAATTAATGGGTAGATAATGATAAAACTGTATATTTTTAACACATACTTTTGAAAACTGGATTTATTCTAAAAATTATAACTGCCACTGGTTTTGATGTCATGATTATGTTTACCAATCAAAGTAAGTCTTGAAGATAATGTAGGTATAATTTTAAGAGGCCATGTAAAATAATGGTGATATAATGTAAATCACAAAATAAATATACAATATTCTAGCATTATTCTGGACAATTGTTCTTATTTCTTTCATCTATGATATTTTTAAGATGCATATTTGATGACCTGATGTACAAATATTATTAAATTTACTTGAATTTTTCTTATTTATTTCATCTAGGATGATAGCACAATAATAATAATAATAATAATAATAATAATAATTAATATATAAAAGCGCGGCAATTTGAAATCGACCAATAAGAACGTCATATTTTAAACCCGCACTGTGACGTCAAGGGTTCGCTTACCGGTGCACGTACAAACGAATTATATACGAGAACGGCGGAAGTGACGTGGACGTGGACGTCGTAGTTGAACCACCGTCGAGCGAACACACTCCGAGCTGCTCGTCGCCTAGGTGTTGATTTCCACTTGCAATAAGAGTACGAGCGACGTGGTTCGGAAACAGTTGACAACGATGAGCGGACATGCAAGAATCAAAATTTTTTTTTTTTCTAACCAACAACATACGCGTGTTCGATCAATGAGGACGTAACATCTAACACGTAGCGCAAAACAGGCACAAAGTAAAGCGTCAGTTAATCAATTCGGACGCTTTTTCGGTCCCCCCCCCCCCGTCGATTCGCCCGTTACAAGACTTTCACTCGACGTCCGAGTCTTACGAGCGGCGTGTCCACCGCGTGCCGTAACGATCGGGTCCGAGCGCGTCAACTCGCATCGGGAAACGCACGTGTCCGGCGAAACCCCAACCCCCCAAGTTGTTCGGAGATCCGGGAAATCAATTACGGTCGGCGTGTGCTGTTTGCGACGCGAAACCGCGTGTCCGTTTACCCCGTGCCCGGCGGAGGAAGGTGTTCCTTGCTCGTCGACGGCCGCACAACAACGCTGCGCACAGGCTGCACACACCCTGCCCCGCGCGCGGTACACCCATCCCGTTGTTAGCCGGGCGCGTCGAAACAATCGATCCCGGCGCGTTTGCGGTCGCGAGAGATAATTGTGCGACGCGCACGCGCGCTCGCCCGTTTTTGTTTGATTGAACGTTAAATGGACGTTGACGCGACGTCGCCGATGACGTCCGCGTTGTTCGCTTGTCACCGTCGGTTTGCCGGTCAATCATTCAACCGCGCGCGCTAAACGAGAAAACGCGAAAACGGGAAAAACAAAAGAACGGCTTACGGGCCGGCGGGGAAGCGCGCGTCACCGCGGTCTGGCGGGCGACGCGGCCGCACCTCCGCTCCGAAAACGCGCGTCGTTCGCGCGCGGTTTCGCCGCGAAACCTCGGTGTCACCCATGTGCAGGTCCGTACGACGGTGTTCGTGTGTCTCGCGCGATCACTCTTGTAATCGCCAAGTGTATTGGCCGATCGAAATATTGACTACTGCCGACACGACGGTCCGTTTCGAGGAAGAATCCGAGATTCGATTTATCGTCCGGGAGACGGCGGGTAAAAAAAAAAAAAAAAAAACAATCTTCGTACTTGACGATCGAAACACGTGCTACACGACTCGTGGGGCCTCACAACGATCGGCTAAAGTCTACTACGAGTGTGTGTTAAGAAAACAACCGAAGCACGTATCGTGCATGTGGTGTACGCCCTTCCTATTAATGTCGGACGCGGTAACTGATGGCCGATTTGTATTTATTGAATTTTTTTCCACACGAAATCACGAATTTGTTTTGATATCCGATCGTCGAACCCTTTGCGTCGTTACAGTCACGTTTTCGTTAACACGGAATAATATTTTATTCGTCGTCTTTAGCAGTTCGCACTGTACTATTTGAATTCTGTTTGAACGGAACAATGTATGTTACCACACGAGATAGAGCAGGTAAAAATCGCCCTTAGGATTATCCAACGTGAGTTTCTACACGAAAACAAAATATACCGGTACGCAAGTTCCTACACGAATACAAATAATAACGGATACAAATTTTCTTCTCGTTTAATTCAGACTTAGGACCGATGACGTAATTGGTCTATTTTGTGTTTTATATATAAAAATAATCCGATTTCAAATTGAATCTTATCCATTTATAATAATATTTATAATGGTTTTATGTCATCCACATATTATTTGTGTTTAATATGATAATTATATAAATTATATTTTGTGGTTAGGTTAGGTTAGGTTAAGTTGGGATAGCTCAAACTTTTAACATAATGTTACTGTGCTTAAAGTTGTATTTCAACATTTGATTGTTTATATAACCTTGTTTATTAGGCTTATTTTTTGAGGTCTATTGGTATCGGATGTTCTTATTATAGTATATGTATTTGTTTGAAACATTTTTAAGACTTTAATTTTTGAACATATTAGGATGGCGATGATAACAATTTGAGTTTAATTCGGATTGAAAATGTTCACAAGCATTTGTAGTAAAACTTCTACAATAACTAGCATTAGCCCAAATACTAGAAAGGAAAGTAATATTTTCCTTTGTGTAATTTTTCACTAAATAAATGCAAAGTTCTTTTATTTTATTATTATCTAGGTTTTAGCTATGAAAAATGTACTTTTGTCCACTTAGGAACTTACGTAATAGTATATTTTTTTGTGTAGAAACTTACATATGTTAACGTTTACTTTATATGGCCATTTACTATCTTCCGTTTAAACCACGTTTTCTTGGTTGCAGATTAAAAACCCATCAGACGTTGTTATGTTAGGTTAGATGATTATTATTGATTAATCTACAACAAATTATCAAATTTCAATAGAAAATGATACATAATATTATGTTAAATTATTTGATATTATCATTTCCATAAGTAATAATGGATAATCGTCAATTCCACTATAGATTGTTTTGTACATAAAAAAGAAAAGGGTTCGTTAGTTACTGAATTGGTCAATAGGTCATCAAATAGCCTGGATTTTTTTTGGATTGGTAAATTTTTTGTTTTGCTAGAATACATTGATCAAAATCATTGTTGGTCTGTTGTTTAAAAAATTAACCAATTATCGAGCATTACAGGTATACAATAATCTTCAAATCCAAAGTTCTAACACTGTCAAGACACTTGTATCTCTTTCATTTTTTGTTCGACCATATTTTTCTACCTCGACATTTTACTGATTCAATTATGATTCTGTCATCGAAGTGTGTATTATGAACCTGAACCATTGAACTAAACTATCGATGCGGTTATTATTAGAGTATACTTGTGGAATGAAATATTTTTTATTAACACTGTAGATATACATAAAAATAACAAGAATGAATATTTTATACAAAAGGGGTTGGTCAGAGATTACAGAACCAAACTACCGCATGTGCGTACCTACGTGTATAATATAAACGATGGCAATTGTTTTTTTAGTTTATCAGATGTGCCTATTACGATGTGTAACTACTATATTAAAACTGTTACGGCGTGCACGAAGGGTATTATTCTTAGTTCGATTGAAATAAAAGCATTGTTTTATGTACAACCCATCGTACACGAATTCATAGGTATATTTAACCATATAAAGCGATAGTGTTTGTTTAAGATCTATCGAGATAAAGACAACCGTATACTGCGGTGTTTTAATTTAAATTATATAGGTGCATTAAATTCGTAACGAGACTTAACAATAATATATATTTACCGGAAAAAATACTGTTCAGTGAAACAATCTCACTACATGGATCAGTTATAAAAAATATTTTAAACAAACTTAATAAATAATAGTATTATCAACGTGTATTCAGTTCGTTTCCGAAAAGGTCTCTACGGCATATTAAAACATTCTAATAAATACAAATTAAATTAATGGTTTACGAGAACATCTATTAGAAAATCGTGTGAGACTTGCACACAAAATTCATGATAGGAACAATGTACAATAATGATTTTAACAAAAATATTATTGAGTAAGGATTCAAAAATATATTATTATTTGAAAACA